GTGTGTGTGTGTGTGTGTGTGTGTGTGTGTAATCAGAGGAAAATTTGCACCTCTTGACAAAATCTGATTGTTCGCCAAAATGTTTGGTTATCTGCAACAATTTTTACTTTTTAGTAGGGCTGCTCGAGTATTGCAAAAATTATAATCACAATTTTTTTAATTGAATTTAAGATCTAGAGTACTTAACAAAATTATTCATTCACTTTGATCAAATGAATTTATTGAACATAAACAATGGCTGTTAAACAATGTTTCCCTCAGGATTTCAAAATTTTTTGAAAACGTTAGACAAAGTGAAACTTTGGCTGTGGGAGGAGCCTGCAGCATGACGGCAGTGGCACTGGATTCACAACACAAAGCAGCGTAAGCGTAAACTGTGAAATTCAATCATTGTTTTCATGATGGTTGAAAACCCAAACGTAATCAAGATCAAAATCTGATTAATCGCCCAGCCCTACTTTTGTGGGGTTGTCAGATATATTTATCTAGAAAAAAAAAAACCTATAGCTTACTATTTTCCTTTTTTTTTTTTTTTGCACAATAGAGCTTTAAGCCAACATTTCTGGATGTCGCAGTGAACTTTGTTTACTAACCGTGCTTTGTGAACGTGTTGCTGAGCTCATGATGTGCAGAACAGAACCAGACCTGTTCTTGATGCAGTGTTTGAAGATCACAGACATCCAATATTGACTTTCAGCCTGGTTGTTTGCTCGCTGGGATCTCTAAATCTGTTTTTAATGCTAATGTGTACTGTAGGTTATTGGATTTTCAAAGTGTTTCCAATTTTTTTTAATTAATAAACAATTATTTAGAAATGACTTCACTATTTTTAGGTAGTTTTTTTGTAGACAGGTGAACCTCTGCCTGTGGTTTTTAATAGTCCTTTTACTAAGAAGTTAACCACTTTCAGCCTTTGAGATGTGTTGCTGCTATGAAATTCAAAATTAAATAATTATTTATTTTCTGGTGCAATTTCTTAGGTTTAATTTTGGACATGTTTATGGACCACTGTTTATAATGTGTGTTTATCAGATTTGCAAATCACTGCATTCAGTTTATTTACATTTTACACAACTTGCCAACTATTTCAGAACTGGGACTAAACATAAAGAAAATAAACTATAATGAGATGTTTCGAACATCAAGGACAATAAGGTCATGAAACAAGCTCAAACACCAGTTCTGTGTGACTCTTTAAAACACACAGACCAGTGTTCACTGCTTTATATTTTAAAGGGATCCCTGATTAGTTGTAACGTTAGACTTTATTTGAAAAACATATATTTTAACTGTAAAATAAAGACTGTAAAAATACTGTA